AAAGGAACTTCTCTCCTATAATATCTATCGTTTTCGTTGGGAGACTGTAACAAAAACGAATCTTTCTTGAATTTTATTAAACTATTACTAAACGCTTTCAGATATCACAAGAAATGACCTTCGCCGAACTCTTTCAAAAGATAAAGAAGAAACTGACGATAGAGCGACGGGTTGCCGACCGAGCGAAATCCACAAGGTCGCAGAGTACGCGGGAAATGGAAACGAAGTTGGTTGTGGAAAGTTCCCTTTTTCTTTCCCTGTCCAAATGATAACATTGTTTTGCTCCTTACTCGGGAGATGGATAGGGCGTAGCTCCGTACTTCATTTGAACGCGGTGAGTTTTCCCTGAGATATTTCCAAAACAACCGTCATCTAGTTTTGTGCCGGACAAAGACATCATTAAGGCAGCGTTCATACTTCGCGACAGCAGCGGCGATCGCGGCGACCTCGGCGATCGATCGCCGCGATCGTCGGTACATGGCAGAGCGCGCCCCAACGCTATTACTTGCGCTCCGAAGGCTTTTGGGAAGAAGCGACTCAATTTCATGCTTTTTTCCTTTAACTGCAATTTTCTTAGGTACTGAAGCTTGGTTTGACACAAAGAAAGGTGAACCCAACTAATGGCTTTTGTTTTCTATTTTCTTTCTTGATTCAGGATAGAAATGAGCAAAAAGCGTGAGAGCTTCATTTAGGGTAGGTTTTTATTTTTTGTTCTTTTTCATTCGTTCAAGCTTACACATGAGCAGTTTATAAAAATTTCCCGTGTTGATTTTTCGTCGAAAAATTAGTGTTTACGAGTTCCCAGGTAAGTTCCTCTTCTGTTCTTGTTTTATACTTTCTGGGCGCTTGTACCTAAATGAAAGGATGAAAACAAAAGAAACAAAAAGAAATCACCTCAGAAAACGGAGCTGTGGCCTCTTATCCCGACCTAAAAAAAAGTGAAACCTCCTTACCTCATATTCAGATCCGCTTATGTATAGAAAGTCGTAAGTTATCAGTTAGTAGCCATTATTAAGAGAAAAGAAGGTCTCACAAGTTGGATTTCCTTATTTATCAAGCGAGCGGTCCATAATAGCGTTGGGGCGCGCTCTGCCACGTACCGACGATCGCGGCGACCTCGGTGATCACTCCGATCGCCGCTGAAGCCGCCATCGCGAAGTATGAACGCCGCCTAAAACTGTTGAACAATATCCCGCTAACGATCTTCACCGCTTCCCATGAAGTGAGTGGCCACGCCCTCTCTATTTCAGGGGCATGGAGTCTGTGTTGACAGAATCAGTAGCTTTACGTTTCTAGCCAAGTTACTTTCAGCTCTAAGGTAAGCACCAGCAGCGCGGTTGTAGTTCGACCTCGTGCAGGAACCGAAATCGTCATTGAACGACTGCGATATTCAAAATCGTCACCTTCTTCATCAGAAATTACCGATCGCAGCGGGAAATCCAACAAGGTGAGAACGCCTGATCCTCCTGGGTGCACTAAAGAGTACTATTCAGAAAATCACGCAATTGGCAGAGGTCACCGTGGAAAATCGACGACAGCGATCGGATTCTGCCCCTTTGGCATCATCTCACCAAGCACGTCGCCCAAATCCCGCTTATCTCAGTTTGCTATCGACAGGATCAATTCTTGCTCCCACATATCGTAGTCGCACGGCTACGCTGTCGAGACCAACATTTGTCAAGGTTACTGTAGAGTGAATCATATCAGTACACATTCAGCTGTAAAAATGTATTGTAATTTTATTGTTGTAAATAATGAGTTTATTAAAAATCTATGTTGTCAAAACTGGATTTCCAAAGGAAAAGTCAATTCTGAGTTAGATAGAAATGGCGAATAGCGATTCTTGTATGAGTACCCCGTGACTAAGATAGATGAATTAATGTTCTATTCTGTAATGAAGTCAAATTGTCGTCACAGTAATCTGCGTATCCCATAAATCGGAAGCATGGCATATGAACTCTCTGAAAAAGCACAGCTGATTGTGAGATGGGAGGGTGGAGAGGGGGGCGGCGGGAGGGGGGGGGGAGGGTAAGCGACGAGACAGCCCCTACTGACCGCGGTCATCTGCTATTGTAAGACTGAGCGCGGGGAGAGGAACGAATTTCTATTGCGGTGAAAGAGCGTTAAAGACAGCTCCCACGATAAAAGTGTCGTGGATAGTTGCTTTCAATTATGAAACAGTAGCTGATAAGTAATTCTTTAACGAAGAAAAAACAAGAACAGCCCTCAAGAACAATATAAACAAAATCACTCCTTGACAATCACACCGCCCTGCGGTCCCTGTGCAACCCCTGACTCAGAAATCGCTTTATCATATATCTCAGTAGTGGATATCAATGCAAAGAAAGAAAATACGAAAAACAACAAAAATACGCAAGAAAACAAGAGCAACCCAACAATTCAAACCTGGCGTCCCGAACTGGTCGGTTACGTGCGAGTGTGCGGCTTTAGATTGCATGTCGAGGCTTTTGCACGGCACAAAATTACAACTCGTGAACTTGGCCAACGATGAGCTTAGATACGCCGGGTGGGCGTGCCCACAGGGCAAGGCTTCGAAATGGACCGGTGTTTCCCAAATTTGTGCTGCAATAGATATTAGACGGGAGCACCGTTTACAAGGTAAACGTTCCTATTGTCTTCAAGGTGTGCTTAATGTTGATTTCATGATCATACGTAAGACCTGATAACCACTTTTTCGCCTCTGCCTAATGTATACCTTTGCAAAAAGCATAAATTCCAATCTAAGTTAATTCTTCCTCTCGGAACTTCTTAGTTCAAGCAGTAGAAACACACAGCTGTTTAATAAGAAGGAAATTATCGTCTCCAAGCTCAGGAAGAAGCGCTGAAGCCTAATTATATCCGTCCACGTCAAGCCCTCGCCCTATTTTGGCCACGCCCACCGGGTATCTAAGTACACGCACCCTATTGAGGAAGAGCAGAATCATTTATTTAGCAGGCAGCGCGGTAACAGTAAAAGTACATGCCAATTCCGTATTAATGCCGCGCCCGCTCAAAGCTAAAGAACAACTGAGCGGCATTCCGTCGGAGGACATCTAGCAAGGGAGGCGGTCCAACTGGGCAAGCGTTAGAACTAAGACTTCCAGCGGCTGTAGGTCGGCATGGCTAAGTTGTGGAGTTTGGCGCAGAGTGGGGCAGTCACCCCCCCCCCCCCCCTCTAGCTTGGGGCTGTACTCTGTTCAGCAAGGAAGACATACGCAATGTAGGCAGGTTGAGGCGCGGGGCTAACCATTAAGGAAGCAAGCAGGTCTGCCTAACCTGCGCGGTACTTCCCATTTATACCAACGAGAAATAGCCCTCATTCCGTGGTTTCTGGCGAGAGGGGAAGAGAGAAAGCAGGGGAAAATACTTGATGGGAGAAGAACCTTTTGTCATCGTCGCAGTATCAGTTCTCCTAATCGCGGCTTAAGCTTAGTGAAACTTGACTTCTCTACGGGACTAACCCTCTGTGACTCTGGTCGTCTGCGCTATAGGCCTAAGCCTTTTCAGGGAAGCGGTCACACCCACTGTCGTAGTGTCCCCCTATTCCTCCCCTAATCAGCGTTAACGCCCTTCTCGTAAACGAAGGATCCAATATATAGAACTATATTTCCTCTGAGAGATTATCCCTCGACAACTTCACTTATCCGCGGCCTAAGTCCTGGCTAAAGAAAGGACATAGAAGAACCCACCCCCATCGCCTACCTCAATACACGTTTTCTCGCAGCCGTTTCTTTGAAATCGCCATCAGGGATCGGACGCCTCTTGCATAAGTATCATGTGTTTCACAGCACATCTTCACCGACCACTTTGTGGAAGGCAGACTGGTCAGTTCCGGGAAAGTAACACGTGTCTGCGGTATTACGTCATCTGATAACTTTAAATTACGTCTACTTGTGACAACGTAGGAAGAAGCAGTGGGTCAGTTAGGCGGCTGCATTCCATTGTTCGTAATATTTGGCCTATTTTTGGTTAGGTACAAGAACATTTTTGCTTTCTTCCTCAAAATACTAAAGTGAAGCCGCTGAGGGTAGACTGTTCATCCCATTCAGTGTCTTGGTACGAGTATATCCCTGTTTTTGTGTAATGGCACATGAGATTTGTTTTCCGACGCCTTTTGGCAGTACTGATGAGCCAGCTCTTTCAGATCATGGCTCTCCCCTTCGTATGTCAACCAGTCAGTTTCAGTACTATAAATGGAAGTTCTAACCTAGTGGATGAGAACCTCCTATTCTGCGCCAGCTACTGTGCTCTTGAGGAATCTCTGGCTTTGGTCCCTATGCGTTTTGTATTCGGTCCTTTCGCATGCGGAACCTGGAGCGTTTTAGGAAGGGTGGGTTTAGCCAGCGGCCAGCCTTTCTACCCAACAGTGTGGGAGCAGGGAACCATAATGTTGGAAAACCGGCTGGCTCACGCCAAACTCCAACCTTCCGAACGCCCAGCGTAACCGGGCGAGAAGGCTATACTCATGGGCAGCTGTTCCCTTAATATATAATTTAGCAATTCTGCTGGGCACTCAGATGGTCATCACTCGGACGCTGACATCCCGGCTATAGTGTCTGTTGAAGTAAGTCTACATATGTAACTGCATCACTTATGAGGAAGCTCTGTAAAAATTATTTGTCAATAGCTCCATATTTTTGCAAAGACTGTTTTAGGCGCGGCTAATGATACATATGGTGGGCAGCAATTTGAATCGCGTTCATACTCTCGTTTGGAGAATAGGAGAATTCGCATGAGTCGGACTGGATGAAACGATAGATCAGTGTAAGACGAGTCAGGCAGTGTTGATAAGTATTGAGCGTGATGGGTGTGCTGTCTTGTTTGCTGCGAATGATGGGGCGTGTCATAGTGATTGGTTTGGCTAAATTGGGTGATGAGGTGTGTCAGGGAGAAAGAGGAGGACACTGTGTCAGCAAAGTATGCCCCACTGCTCCGCCACACCGCTACGGTAGACACCAACGACCATCTGGCTAGGTACCAGCCGGCTTGCTCCATGACTATGCTTCCTCTCCCTTTTTCTGGTCGCTGTGTGTCTCGGAAACGGACAGTTCGCCATTTCTATGGGGAGTGAGCTCCACGGTGAGTAAGTCACTTTTTCGGGAAAAATTGGAATGTACAAAGTGGAGCGCGTACTCCAAAACTTTTGTTTCCTTCAAAATCGCAGATTTTTGTAGCGCTGACAGTAAATTGCAGATTGGCCCCTCCCGAGGTGCAGATACTTATGATATTCTTGTTCTCACAGAGTTGGAGCTGACTGAATAGGATGGAGCCATTGAAAAACGCTGCTCTTCAAAGATTACAATTTTCTGTGTAAATTACAGTGCACCCCATATCTCGGAGATAAGAAGGGCGTGACATACTTGATTTGACAATGCGAGGAATACTTTCTATTCGAAAAGAGCGTCATCCTCTCTTCATTGGGAAAAGAACAAGGTAAAAATTGATCCAAAACGTCTTATCCTACCAAAAGTGCAGCCGCCGCCACGTGCAAATGAAGTTTGCAGCACGCCGTTCCCATCTCAGGGATATGGGCGTATCTACAGTCTTTTGCGCTGCAAATGCCGAGGCGCGTCACGGGGGATGGATATGGCGCGGCGTTCTCTACTGAAGCAGGGTCAGCGAAGCAGTTGCTGGAGAACGGGTTGGCGTTGCGCCAAACCTGGCCCCGTCACACGTCCCAGTATCCGCGAATAAGACGTTATTCAGGCCAATTTCTTGCCTTCACACGAAAGTGATGCGATGTTTGACGGCATTATGGAATACTTGAAAACTAACCGCTATCCATCTTTCATCAAACTAACAACAGATAAGGCAGCTGCGAAAAGTGAATTCAGGTAGGTTATTATGCCCTACATTAGCTAGCTATTCTCTCAACTGCTTCGTTCAGAAGAAAATGCAGTATGTTCTTCTTGGACAAGAATGGCGATCTGATCCAGGGTAGAGCTGCCGGCGTTCACCGAAATGTATTACGTCGCGGAGAACTCGCTACAGTTTTCCATTTTATACACGAGGCGCTAGGACACTGCAGTGCTGATGTTTGGTGAGGCTTATCTTTCTAGTTTATGATCATGAATTTGACCTGAACTCCCTTATAAGCGGATGCGGTTTTGGGTGAAGCTTCTGAAATTGCCATACAAGGTGGGGATTCTACTTAAAATTGATTAGTTTTTCACATTTCAATAACATCTTTTTTCCTATAAAAATTGTCCCTGCAGAAGACCCCTTGACCCTCGCCTGCGGACATCTCGCCTCAATCCAGTTGCAGACCAGTTCGCTACGGACGAAGGGGCGTGTCAGGCAGGATGAGGTTGGCGCCGTGGCACACTCATACTACCGACACGCCCTTTCATCCGCAGCGAACGTACCCATTCACTCAACATAGCCCGCTTTGCTGTTACCTACAATGCCTATACATGGTACGCACTCCACTGCGACGTTTGCTGTGCGAGCTCAACTACCACTTCAGGTTATTGACATTTGGGGGCTGTTATTTGCAGTACTTTTCACTTTGCATCGTATCCGCTGTCATACCAGAGTTGTTCATTCTCTTGATGTTCTTCCTGCTCTATCTACGACTAGATATGATTTTGATTGTTGGATTTATGCTATGGCTGCCTTCATAACTTCTAGACCTGCTTTATAAGTCCATTAGTGATTCGCAACAAACGCGCAATAGACTGATTTTTGAAGGCGGGGATTGCGTGTTTAACGGGAATCGACCAGCGTTCTTCCCAATCTGGCTCTTCGTTCACCGCTTCTCCCAAATCGCGGACCCCTACATCGGCAAGAGTCGTTAACGCCATAGTACTCTGTGGGTTTAACGTCTACAATGGTAGATTAGACTAATCATATCAATAATGATATAAAGGCAGTAGACAAGGACTGTCTTTTGGTCGCTTTTACAGTGTGAAAATCGTTCACGTCTTTGTGGTCCGAGTGGGAAGAACATATGCACTTTGTTGCCCAATGATAGATCCAAACCATGCGGTTGTCGATAGGCTCTGCTTTTCTCTCCGCTCAGCGTGTAATTTGGAGACCGGTCAGTGAGACAATCTTTCTTGGAAAGCTCAAGGATGTTTAAAGTTCTATGCAAGATCAATGTCATGTTCAAATACCACTGCAAAGGTTAGCGCAGGCTCGTCATCTGTCAAAACAGTAGTTGACGTCTGCAAAACGCTGCTAATGCGTTAATGGACAAGACGAGAATATGTTTGTAATTTTCTTCATGCTGCTCAATTTACCTTTAGGCCGCATTCATATTTGTGGCTCATGCAGGAATAAGCGAATTGGCACTTTCACCGTTTGGAGCAGTGAACACCAACTCCAGTATATGGCAAATTCGATCGACACTTGCCCTTGCACGCGTGCATCCGATTTGTTGATTCTCCTGTTCGCCTATTCTCTCAAGTCGCTAACCACCGGAGTCGATCGATTCTCATCTAATCTTTTGGCGAGCATTCCCAAAGCAACGAAGCGCTGACTCTCCTGTTCTCCTATCTTCTGAAGTTGCAAATTATGAAAGCGGCCTTGTTGGCGTATGAACGTCAACTACATGCATGTGTCTCCTGGACAAGTAACTTACTGAACCGTATACCCGTTATACATCAGCGACAATGCCCCAAAATGGTCACAACAACAGTTACCAGCTGTCACTGTAGCCCCTTCGTAAGCTTGCGATTTATTCGAGAAAATAGAGGGGAAAACCTAATAGTATTTACAGTTTCATTAGCTGATGAAGATGTCATCTTTCAGCTGATCTACCTAATTTGTAACATTTTTTAGCACGTTATATTTCTCTCAAATTCATTCGAAATGTTAGTGGTGGTTTTTCTATCACCCTTCGTTCCACATCAAGGGATGTAGATTTCAGCAGGTTTCAATCCGCTGCAGGAGGAGATGTTGCTCAGAGGAAAGAGAAGTATGTGTCCGAGATTCAGTTTTATTCTGTAATTGCTTATCTGAATCACTTGTACTTTTTCACCGGCTCTTGAGTATTCGTTGTCTTTTTGTAGTATTCTGATTTTTCCAGCTTCCTAACCACATTCTTTTAACAAAGAAATTTCACACTTTTTTTCCAAGCCTGGCGATATCTTTTCTTAGACAGAAGAAGGACAAGTCACCTATTCTGATTGATGGGCGGTACAGGATATATGGAAGTGCGGAGATGGAGGACGTCTTGGAAAAGCTTCATGTGGCATTCGTTCATTGTGCCGTCAATAATCTGTAAGTTTTCTTAATGTTACATTTAGCTAGAATAGTTTTCAATACTACCATTTTTTTCAAAACCTCACACTTTTTCGAAACCTGACATATTGATGTGCTGTTTCATGCAGACGAATCCTCTTCAAAAGTCGGTTTTTACTGCCTCGGATTTTCTAATGCCGCAAATGAAGTGTACTCGCGGTGCTGGTTTTGCAAGACAGAAGGAAGGAGAAAACATCGCTTCCCGGTAAAATGTTGGTTCCTTCTACTGTTCGAGTCGTTTTCCTCATTTTTTTCTTGTTTCTTCTTCGTTTTCACTGTTTTGCTGTTCGGCATCGATTATGGAACATCGTGGGTGCCACTGTCAGCAGCTGATTTGTGGTAAATCGCACAGCTTTTTTTGAAGACAACTGTATACTCGATAGTGTATGCTTACCATCCGCGCTTCACCATACGCAAACGCGCCTCCTATGTGCACCTTTTGTTGCTTTAACCTCTAACGTGTCCGCCTGTGGGATTTTGATGTTGACGCGTGGCTGCACTTTGGGGGTAGCACGGCGGGTCAAAAGGCAGCCTCGCCTATGGCAAGTATCGTGCCTCAAAGGTTATTGCACAGTTTGTCTCAGAAGCTTGTGTGAATAGCATTCTACGTAAGTATTCAGCCTAATTCTAAATATGCACTGAAATCACGCACACCATATTGAAGAGCTTAGGAATGTCAAACTTTAATAACTGCCACCTGTGAAGATAACTGGCTCAACATCCTTTCCTTCACTTCACGACATGTCGACACAATTCTGTTCGCGTACCACTAGGTGGCGTGGATGTCAGTGGCTGTCAACTGCCTTATCATGTCGTTCTCGAAAGTTACGTTCATACTTCACTAGTCGGTGTTTCGAGAGATTCAGTGTTTTGAGCGATTCGGCGTTCTAGGAGGATCTCGCTTTTGGGCGCCACTCGATACCTATTCTACATTATATGCATTTCTCTTAAGACGCTGATTCCCTCGAAACGCGAAAACGGTTCATATACTTTCCTCTCAAACCGCTTGTTCGCAAAGTATGAAGCAACTCGAAACGCCAAATCGGTACCTATACTTTCCGCTAGAAAACGTTGATTCGCAGTGTATGAATACAACCTAACGCAACGATTGCCGCAGCAGTGGCGCATATTGCCTTTACCACTAGAGGACACCTTACCAGTAACTATACTTCATTTTGTTATTCTTCATGATTTCGTTACTCCTATTGTGTTTACTTTTGCATTCATGAAAACATTTACAGGTTACGAGTACGACGTGATAGTACAGGGTGATATTAATGATCCTTCGCGAAATTTCGTAATTAAACCTCGCGGAATATCGCCTGAAGAAGCCGAACAGTTTATGACTTCTGTGCTAGGATCATGTGATGGCACTATTACTTTGGAGGAAGCCGCAACTATGGCCGATACGTCAAACGAGGTGAGTACAGAGACTTTGGCTTTTTTCAGTATAGGTTAACCATGTGATTTGATGCTGGTCCAATTTACCGGTTCTTTTTGTGAAGACATGTAATGTCCTGTTAAAACTGCGAAAGTAGGTCAAACATTCTTCACGGAATGGATTGCCCACCACTGTGCAACTCCTTCCTCCTTTCGGTTTTGGCGAAAGTCCTCATCAGGTGGGAGACGGGCACGAGAATCGTAATTTGTTCCGCCGCGCGGCGATGGGCGCGGCGTTTTCTCAACTCGTGTTAACCTGTCGATTGGAGCACCGGACTTCATGTAGACCCCGTCATCGTAGACATTCATGACTATTTTCGGTTCTGAATTGCCTGTTGTCGCCATCTACTACCTGGAATCATTGCCATTCTTCTGATCTTCTTGTCACATACCCCATCAGGTCGCGTTCATACTTTGCAGAAGTGAGGGATTGACGGATTGAAGACATGAAGAGATCACGAAGAGAGGTGCCTACGTACCATTATGAATAATCGAAACATAAAAGAATAGTGGAATTTGGAGATCTGAAGAATTTTGCGAATGATACGATACATAATGAATTGTCGATTGGAAAGACTGAAAAATCGACGAGTTGAAGAATCGTAGGTCGAGGAGAATTGGCGAAAAGGATTAGATACCTTCGCACATTCGTCGATTCTTCTCTTGCTATTATTCGCCAATTGTTGCGGATGGTGGGCTGTGTAAGGAG